GAAAGAAGGGGAAAAGGAGAGAGAGGAGAAAGAAGGGAAAAAGGAGAGGAAGAGGAGAAAGAATGGAAAGAAGAGAAGCAGAGAGGAGAGGAGAAAGAAGGGAAAAAGGAAGGAGAGAGAGGAGAAAGGAAGAAAAGTAGGAGAGAGGAGAAAGAATGAAGAAAGGAGAAGAGGAGAGGAGAGGAGAAGGGGAAAAGAGAGGGAAGGAAAAGGGGAGAGAGAGAGGAGAAAAAAGGGAAAAAGGAGAGGAGAGGAGAAAGAAGGGAAAAAGGAGAGGAGAGGAGAAAGAAGGGAAAAAGGAGAGGAGAGGAGAAAGAAGGGGAAAAGGAGAGGAGAGGAGAAAGAAGGGAAACAGGAGAGGAGAGGAGAAAGAAGGGAAAAAGGGAGGGAGGAGAAAGAATGGAAGAAAGAGAAGCAGGAGAGGAAGGAAAAGAAGGGGAAAAGGAGAGGAGGAGAGAGGGAAAAGGAGAGAGAGGAGAAAAGAATGGAAGAAAGAGAAGCAGGAGAGGAGAGGAGGAAAGAAGGGGGAAAAGGAGAGGAGAGGAGAAAGAAGGGGAAAAGGAAAGGCAAAAGCTGTTCCGACGCAGCTTAGCGCCATCCGGAACTGGAGCGAAAACCGAGGAAACTTTGAGCATTTCTCGTTGGCTACATATAATATATATATATATATATATAATATATATATTAATATATATATATATACTATATATATATATATCCTATATTATGCTGTGTGTGTTGTGTGTGTGTATGTTTGTATATATGTGTTTGTATCTATCTATCTATTTTTCTATTTTTCAACTATTTTTATCTGTCTATCTATCTGTCTATCTTTATCTATTTTATCTTTTATCTATCTATTATCTATCTATCTCTGTCACCTATCTTCTAGTCCAAGAAAATCAGATTGAACTATTAAATCCAGAGAACTTCATTTTCAATTATTGAGAAAAAAGAAAAAAGAAAGAAAAAAAAACTTTTTACTTCACTCTGTCCGATCCGTTGTCACGATGACGTCAAATCATCGATGACGTCAATAATTGATGACGTCATAAAAATGACGTCAATAAACTAGCGTTCGCTCGCCTGGTACTTTGGATGGTATCGACAGAAGAAAAATACGACGAACATTATGATGATTTCATAAGATGTTTTTGAATTATTTTTATACACACATGCATACAAACACACAAACACACACACGCGCGCGCACATACAAGCACACACAACACAAAAAACACACACACAAACACACACACACACAACACACAAACACACATACACACCCAAAACACAACCCCACACCACACAAAAACACAAACCACACCCACACCCACCGCACAAACACACAAACATACCCCTCCCCCCCTCTAAAAAAAAAAAAAAAAAAAACAAAGAACGTGAAAAGCATTTCCTAGAACGAGAGCCCAGTCTTTTTTCCCACTTTTTTTTTACGTAGATAATCAAAGGTTTTCGAAAAGTTTGGAAGTGAAAAAGATCTCACGTTTCTCTCCATTTTGAGTCGGTTCCTTTATCTTTTTTCTTCTTCTTCTCTTTCTCTCTCCTTTTCTCTCTCTCTCTCTCTCTCTCTCTCTGCTTTTTTTTTAATCGAAGGAGGGATGAATATATGTTTTTTATTATTCAGTATTCTCTCTATTGTTAGTCGGTTCTCTCTCTCTCTCTCTCTCTCTCTCTCCTCTCTCCCTCTCTCTCTCTCTCTTC